TCACAAATGCCACGACAAAAAACCTCCAACCAGCTATAAATTGGTGAAAATACCTTAGGGATAGGTCTGGACTACAGTGAAGAAACAAACATTAAAAACCCTGCAGAGCTAAAAAACTGGGGACCACTGCATAGTGAAGTATGGGGACTATTTTATCTGCATCACCCTGTGCCTGAGCCCAGAGCAGCTCAGCACTGGGATGGGGGTGGGGCTCTGGTCTCCTCAGAGGATTTGTATCTCACAAGGAAGGACCCTTGGGGTCCAGGAGAACCCTAGTAAGGCTCACGGCTGTGGACATTTGTAGCCTTTGCTACCAAGTCTCTTAAGACTTCACTAAAGCTGGTCCAATCTGACGGAGCTGTCCCATTTGCTGTCTCTACTCACTAGAAGAGGAACTCTCGCTGTGGGTCTGTGCTGCGGTTGCATCTCCTCCCGACTGGCATCACTGCAGTGAGTTCCAGATACCCAGACCCTTTTTCCCGAGAGATCTGCACACTCCTGCACCTCAGACACCAATGCCAACTGCTACAGCAAGTGCACCTGTGTCCCAGGACCCAGATGCTGTAGTAGTTTTCATGAACCCAGGACCCCAGATGCCCTGCTGTTCTGAGTGACAGCATACCAGGTGAGGCACCAAGAGGAATCCTGGGTAGAACTTTCTCTTCTCTTCTGTGGGAAAAAAGAGAAAAAGGACTTTCCCAGCAAACTTTGCTTATGAAAACTCCAGTATCCCTAATCACCTGCAGGACCTCTGCAGTATTGGCCACAGGAGACCCTTATTGTCTACTGACACCAGTCGCAATTTAGGGAGCTGTGTGGAGACCATGCTGCTGCGCCTCCCCAAGATACGCTGCATCCTGCCCAGCTGGTGTTCTCACAGCCACCTGCAGGTAAAAGTCTTTCACAGCCCAAGGCATTCCGAAAAGGCTAGAAGAAGTGACTGTACCTTCAAATGTGCAGACATTGACACAAAACCATCAGAAGCGTGAAAAAGCAAGGAAACATGGCATGGTACTATTAAAGGACTGCAGTGATTTTCCAGTAATTGATCCCAAAGAAATGGGAATCTGTGAGTTATCTGAAAAAGAATTCATAATAATTATTTTGAGGAAGTTCAGATAATTCAAGAGAAAATAGACAACTCAATGAATTTGGTAAAACAATACATGAACAAAGTAAATTCAGCAATGAGAAATGAATCATAAAAGAACCAAATGGAAATTGTGAACCTGCAGAAAAGAAATAAAAAATGTGATAGTGAACTTTAATACTGGGTGTAATCAAACAGAAGAGAGAATCTGTGAACTTGAAGACAGGACTCTTGCTATCTAATCAGAAAAGAAAAAAGAAATTAGAATGAAAAAGAGTGAAGAAAGCCTGTGTGAATAGTGGGACACTATGGAGTGAAACAGTGTCTGTGGGATGGGAATTCCTGAAGGAGAAGAGCAAAAGGAAACTTATTTAAAGATATAATGGCAGAAAACTTACCAAATCTGGAGAGAGATGGCCATTTAGGTGCACAAAGCTCAAAGATTTCCAAACAGATCCACTTCAAAGAGATCTTCACTGAAGCATTATAATCAAACTCTCAAAAAATCAAAGACAGAATTTTGAAAGCTGAAAGAGAAAAAAGACTTATCACATACAAGGTAATCCTGACAAGCTAATTAGCATATTTCTCAGCAGAAACTTTGTAGGCCAGGAGAGAGAAAGAGAGAGAGGGGTGGATGGATGATATATACAGTGGGGCAAAAGTACATTTACAGTTGTATGTGTAACACAGAGGTTAATTATTCTTGTGTTATTTATCATTGTATATTTTTTCCATACAACTGTAAACCTACTTTTTAAAAAATCCTCACCAGAGGATATGTTTAATTTTCTAAAATGATTTTAGAGCAAGAGGAAGGTAGAAGGACAAAGAGGGAAGCATCGATGTGAGAGAAAAACATTGATTGGTTGAGTCTTGTATGCACTTTGACTGGGGATAGATCCCACAGCTTATCTGTGTTCCCTGACTAGGAATCAAACCCGCAACCTTCTGGTATTCAATGACTCTCCAATCAACCGAGCCATCTGACCAAAACTAACCCTATTTGTGCCCCACCCTGTATTCAAAGTGCTCAAAGAAAAAAGCTGTCAAACTGGAATACTTTACCCAACAGCCGTTCTTCAGAAATGAAAGAGAGATGAAGATACTTTCCAGAAAAATGGAAGCTGAGGGAATTTATCACTACTGGGCCTGCCTTTCAAGAAATGCTAAGGGGAGTTCTTCAACCTGAAACACATGGATACTAATTTGTAACATGAAAACATGTGAAAGAATAAAATTTACTGAGGAAGGTAAATATATGTAGTCAATTCAAAACACACTGATATTGAGATGATGGTATATAGTCACTTTAAACTCTAGTGCAGAGGTTAAGAGACAAAGTGTTAAAAATAAATATAGCCATGGTATTTTATTAATGGCTATACAATATAAAAGATGTAAATTGGGATATCAACAACATACATTGTGGGTAGGGCAAGTAAATGCAATGATTTTATGCAATTGAAGTTTAGTTGTTATCAACTGAAATAAACAATTATATTTAGTTATAAAATGTATTATGAAAGCCTAATGCTAATGACAAAGCAAAACCTGTAACAGACAAATGATAAACAAAAGAATCCAAGCATACCATTGCAAAATATCATCAGCTCACAAAGATAGCAAGAGAGGAAGAAGGATCAAAGGAAGTATGAAACAATCACAAAGCAATGAACAAAATGGCAATAATAAGTCCTTACTTTTAAATAAGTATTCTAAACTTAAAGTTTGAATTTTTTAGTTGAAAGATACAGAATGCCTGAATGGTTTAATGAAACCATCCAAATATACTCTGCCTACTTTAGACTCATTTAAGCTTTTAGGATGCTCATAAACTGAAAATGAAGGAATGGGGAAAGATACTCCATGTAAATGGAAACCAAAAGAGAGGAGGGGTAGCTATACTTGATACAAAACACACGTTAAGTAAAAAAAATCTGTAACAGGGACAAAGAAAAAGAAGTTTATTATGTGATGATAAAGGAGTCAGTTCGTTAAGAGAATATAATTCTTAACATATGCACCCAACATCGGAGCACCTAAATATATTAAGCAATTAATAGACCTGAAGGGAGAAGTAAACAGCAATGCAGTATGGTAGAGGACTTCAGTACCCCACTTTCAACAATGGATAGATAATCCAGACATAAAATAAGAAAATAAGAGACTCATTTAACGACACTTCAGATCAAATGGACTGAACAGAGATACACAGAAAATTCCATCCAGTAGCAGCAGAATACACATTCTTCTCAGGCACGCACAGCATTCTCCAGGCTAGATCATATGTTGGGTCACAGAACAAGTCTTAATAGATGTAAGGAACAGTTAGCAGATGGAAGGGAATCATAAAGATTACAGCAGAAATAAATGAAAGACTAGAAAGATCAATAGAAGAGATCAATGAGGAAAACTTGGGATAATTGTAATAGAATGAGCAAGGATAAAATAAAAGATGAATGAAACTCATAATTGGTTTTTTTGAAAAGATAAGCAAAATTGACAAACTATCAAACCTTTAGGTAGTTAAAGAAAAAATAATAAAATATAAATGAAAGCAGAGACATTACAACTGATAACAGAAATATAAAGGATTATAAGAGGCTACCGTGAACAATTATACTCCAACAGATTGGTCATCCTAGGAGGAATGGATAAATTCCTAGAAACACAAAACCTGTGCCCTGACTGGGAATGGCACCGGTGACCCTTGGGTTCACAGGCCAGCACTCAGTCCACTGAGCCACACCAGCCAGGGCTAGTGCCTACTTTTTTTTTTTAAAGCACACAGTTATTTACTCCGGTACTTTCAAAATGACTCCTCCACTCTACTTTCCTCGTCTTGCCCACATCCACAGTCTTCGTGTCCTTTTTCATTCTCTTCCCTGAGTTTTTCTCTAACGCAGATTCATTCTGCATCCCTATTACTCTTTTCCTCTTATTAATTGGTCTCCCTCCACATATGTGCTCCCTCTCTCACACCTGCCGAAGTGATCTTTTAAAAAACACAAGTTGAATTAATTCATTCTCCTCTTCAAAATCCTCGGTGTTTGTCTTCTGTGAGTTAAAAGTCTGAACTACTTGGCTTACTATATTCATTTTCTCATTCCTATTTGCCTCTCATCGTCCTTTCCCAAGCATACAAGTTAAGTCGTGTTTGACTTACTATTTCCTAAAGACCTCATCTAAATTATTTTAGCATTATTTCTTTTTTCAAATTCACACTATCCACCCTTATGTTCACCTAGGAAGCTACTATATTTTCTTCAAGTTACTGCTTCATTATTACCTGTATTGTGAAATGATCACTGATGACCCCTTGGCCCCAAGCCGTTGGCAGTTGGTTTATTCTGTCCCTTGCTTTCCCATAGCATTTTTAAGTATATGCCTTCATTAGTGTGTATCTTTTTAAATATAACTATTTATTTACTCTCTTCTGCTTTTTAACCTCATGAGCTCCCTGAGAGCAGGGACTGTATTTACAAATGTTTTTAAAAGTCTCCAGCAGACAGCACAGTACATGGCACATGGTAGTCGCTGACACAATAAGTGGGAAGTGGATTGTAAAAGGGGTGAAATGAGTTGTTCAGATTTAGCATAAATAGGAAACAGAGGCTTCATTCAGGCTGTTGCAACATAAGACAGTATTAAATTTTAAAAACAAAACAGTAAAAAAATTCATTTTTATAGTGCTTTTTCAAATTTTAAAGCACTTTCACTGTATCTCAGGTTTTTCAACAACTGGGACAGCCTTATAGATACTTTTAATAAGAAATGTCATTTAATTATCCTTTGGCAATTGAAATACACATGTTTGCATATAGATAGAAACATTCTCCCTTTGGATGTGTATGTTGTAGAAGGCTTACCTCTGACCTACTTACTTATAGCACATTTTGTATCACAGTGGATGACGTAGTAGATGAAAGTGATGACAACGATGATACTGATTTAGAAGCTGAAAATGAAACTGAAAATGAGGATGACCTAGATCACAATTTTAAGGTTAGTATAATTTTCTGTTTTCAGTCAACTTACTAAATTGTATACACAGTTGTAAAACAAAGACTAGCTAAATAGATGTAGCTAATAATAGATTAATTTGTTGCATCCACATCTTTTTATAATGGCTGACTATGGACAGTAAACTATTGAAAGAGAAAATAATGTCGCTTTGAATTCATTGGTCTTTGAAAAGGGCCAATGCATTCTTTCTTCACTGTGCCTGTTTTACAGGTAAATTCATCTTTCTAATATTAAAGGAGTTTTTATCTGTATATTAATATAAAATAATAAAAATTTTATTTATATGGATTATCAATGAAGATATAGAAAGTGAAAAAGCACTTTAAAGTACCAATTACAATAGCACCAAACCATGAATTACTTAAGTATATATCTTAAACAATATATGTAAAAATTTATATCTTGAGTATCACAAAACACTGATTAAAGAAATCGTAGCTGATCTGAAGAAATGGATAGATATAACCTGTTCATAGATTGGGAGATTTAATACTACTTACTAGTAAATTATTATTTTTTTTTTCCTGAAGTAGAGAGCCACCTTTATAAGGCTGTATTTTCAAAAAATAATATTGAATATTAGTCTAGTATGGCTGGTGGAAATAATGCCTCTGTAAATTTTTTGTTACTTTGAAAGCATTGTCTACTTTATTAGATGTTAATCAAGCATATTATGTATTTTTGATTCATTAATGCATAATTTAAGATACATGAAATTACATACTCATGTAATAATAATTGCACAATAGTGATACAATAATTAAGATGATACTCTTTAAGTAAAGACAGTTTATTATTTATGGCAAGGGGGAAAATCATTTTGTTGGTTATACAAAGAATAGCTAAATTCCTGAATATAAAATAAGAGAAATACATAGTATGTTTTTCCTCTTAAATTACTTATTAATGGTAAGTGTGTAAATATAGTTAGGTACATGTATATAAAAGAATTTTAAAGATTGAAGTGTGGTAGAACAAGGTAGAGAAATAAGTAACTGTGGTAGTAAGATAAATGCAAAATTAAAAAACCAATACCAACTGAAAATTATTAAGTGGTAGAATTATCTCTCTTTAGCCACCAGTGAAGGAGATAATGAGTTGGCATTTGTGTGAGGCCAGAGTTGTTGAGGGCCCTAGAGAGCAGCTTGGATAGCAGGTAAACCGATGCTCATCTTACATTAATTAGCTCCTTGAACAGATAGAGGCCAAGTTGCTTCTGGACACATACTCTGTTTCTCTGAGGTCATACTCCTCCTTAAGACTTACCCTCTTCTTTCCCGAAGGGTCATGGAGACCATTTCTGGCTATGGTTTCATCCCTTTTCTTTTCCCTGAAAGCAAAGTGAATGGTGCCACTGAGCTTTTCTAAGGGCACTTCACTGACCATGAAATATGAGAGTGCATGGTAATCATTAGTGTCTCTCGCGGCAGTGCATTATGTTAACTAACAGTGGATGCTCTGGTGTCTGTGACTACCCTGATGTCCTGGCTCCTCTGTCTGCAAGCTGTGCAATTTTGAGCAAGCCACTTAACCTCTTTGTACCTGTTTCCTCCTCAGTTAAATGGAGGTAATGATGCTATTACTTCATAGTGTTCTTGTGCACATCAAATTAGATAATACATTTAAAATCCTTAGTGCTTCATATATTTTCAGTGCTCAGTAAATGTTATTTTGATCATCGCCAACATGATATACTTATGTTTTTCAATTTAGTTTTCTTAGTTTTCCTTTAATACAAGCAAAATGATGACAATTGGAGAGATGGGGGAACATACTTTAGTCTTGATCTTCACACTAGTTTTTCTATCTTGAGGAGCTGAAATGCCTGCTATTATTAGAATAACCTTTGACAAAAACAAAACAACTAAAACAATAATAACACAACAACCCAAAAATACAAGCAAATTTTAATTTACGCTAAAAGTAATAGACCCTTTATTCAGTGATATTCTGTAATTACATGTAATTAATAATTTGGAAATCTTTAAACCTGAAATGTAGCCTGTAATTTTTTATATTTTTTTAACTGGTGACATGCCTTTTTTGCCATTTCAGAATGATGATATTGAAACAGATATTAACAAACTAAAGCCTCAGCAAGAACCAGGACGAAAGATAGAAGAACTTAAAATGTATGAACACCTTTTCCCTGAGCTTGTTGATGATTTTCAGGTATAAATATAGAAAACTCAGCATCTTAACTGATTTTAAGAAAATATTTTTTCCTTTCTTAGGTGCATAATCAGTGTTTTCATTTGTCCAAAATGAAAATAGTGGTGCTTTTTTGAGTGACATTGGACAATTATGTCAACATTTGGAGTACAAATTGCTTATGTGTAAAATGAGGGAACTAGCTCATTTAATGGACATAGGGTTTTACTCCTTAAAAATTAATCTTGCCCTGGCCATTGTGGCTTAGTTGGTTGGAGTGTTGTCCCATAACCAAAATGTTGTGGGTTTGGTTCCTGTTCAGGACACATATGTAAGTTGCAGGTTCAATCCCTGGTTTCAGTGTATGTGGGAGGCACCAGTTGACACTTCTCTTTTGCACCGATATGTCTCTCTATCCTGTCCTCTTTCTCTAAAAGCTTTGAAAATAATGTCCTTGGGTGAGGATAAAAATATATATAATAGAAAATTAAATAACAATTCTTTAAAAATGGCATTTCAGAATCTTATTTTGAAGTCTTCTTTGTATCAGTTGCATTCAACTAAGGGGAGATGGGAGAGCTAAGAAAATGATAAGTTTAAAACATGTATAGTCTATGTATGTTGACTTTTTTTTCCTGAAAGTGATTGTAGAACTGTGGAATGTCTGGGAGAGAGGAAGGCAACTTGAAGTCTTTAAATCTAAGTTGGTTCATAAGCAGAGTGACTTCTTGTTAACATTTCTTACCCTCATTTATTTACTGGAAACAAGTTTTCAGCCTGAATTAAACAGCAAGTAGAGCTGATTGATCGGTGGCGATGAGTAGATCTAGAGAACTATTCTCACTGTGCTCACCTATGGTGTGGGTGCTTGAAAAACTCTGCAACTGCCTAGGATCTTAAACTGTACAGTTAAGGGTTTGAAGCAAACCCCATGCCCTTAAATTCCGTATATTGATACTTAGTTCCCAGTTGTTGAAATAAAAAGACTTTAATGTGAGGTCATATGGGATAAATAAAAAAAAGAGAAATACTTGCTAGCTAATGTTTACATTTCACAGTTAGAATTATTCAGATTTCTCCTTGGAACTCATGAGTTTTGGCTGCAGTACAAGGATCAGCAAGTTGCCCTCCTTCCCCCTTCCCTATGTCTTTGTTCCTCCCAAACCCCTAGATTTGGTGTATGGAAAGGTACCGTGAAATCAGGGGTATTGGAAAAAACACAGGGATAAAAGAGAGTGTATTTGTCAAAAAAAGAGAAAAAAGAAAGTAAGAAAAGGCATTTGGAAAAGGACATAGGGTGATTTTCTTACAGTCAACCTACAGGAAGTATCTGGATGCTGTTTTAACACTTTTCTGACTAGGTGAGAGCCAGTTAAAAGTAGAACCACAGTGATGGCAAATACTGCTGACTCAAAGCAGAAAAACATTGTGGAAGAATTGGGGGAGAAATTGATTATTATGTGAAGAAATCACCTACTTTTTTCTCTGTGAGCATATGAGAACTATATAATGTGATTAAAAATGGTAGGGTCAGAGAGGAGTAATTTTTTAGTGGGTGTGAAATCTAGGAATTTGATTCTTATCCTTTCACAAGACTTTTTTTGCTTGTAGGCTACAGTGATGAAGTCTTCTTATATGTCTGCCTATTAGTTATCAGCTAGAGTAGGTTACCCTCCATGGTTTCTTGCTTGATACCTATCAATAGCTGGCCAAGTGCCCTTTGTTTTGGCTGTGCCTAGAGCAGGTTCTTACTTTGGTCTAACTTGGTGTGTTCAGGGTCAGATGGTACAGACAGGTCTGTCTCAGTGAGAGACCGCTGGAAAGTCTTATTCCCAAGTGTCCTCCTTTTTACTGTGTTTAAGCAAAAGAAACTACTTCAACATTTCAGGTAGTAGTACATCATTACTAATGCATTCTCTATTTTGTCATGAAGTTTTATGTAGAATAGTTAGTTCTATTTCTATAGTATGGTTAGAGGAAATAGCGCATTATCTTTTATTTATATAACTGAAAAATAATTTCTAAAGTAGTTGTGTTGAGACTTGACCATCTGATTTTTATGTTGGAAGAATGCACTGTTCAAATACTTTAGTATCTAGTTTTTAAACATTTTTATTTATTGATTTTAGAGAGAGGAAGGAGTGGGAGTCGGGGGGAGAGAGAGAGAAAGAGAAACTTCGATTTGCTCCACTTACTTACGCATTCATTGGTTAGTTTTTCTGTGTGCCCTGATCAGGGATCAGACCTGTGACCTTGGTATATCAGGTCAACACCCTGACCCACTGAGTTACATGGCCAGGGCCTCTAGCCTCTATTTTTTTGAAGCCTGTGTTAGAATTATGTATAAGCAATACTTAAGTAATGTACTTTTGAGAATTACAAATATTGGTTGGTACCAAATGGGAAGTGTTTGAAAGAATTTTTCAGCCATCATTGTATCAGATATTCGCAGGTCATGAGATGGTAAACATAAATGCAGTTGATATTATGACATTTTACACTTTGATTTGCATGCCATTTCAGCATCAACTAATAAATCTTAAAATTACTTGATGTATAGGTATGTCTGAATCCTGAGCACCACGCTCTCTGTTTCCAGATGTGTTAAATCTGTTATTCAATGGCCAGATGGAGGGAAAAAGAATGCACTTGAAGGCAACACATGGAATTATTAAAGTTATTAACATACTTTTTAAGGGAAACTTGCATTATTTGAAAACTATGATTATTCATAATGACAATTACAGTTTCATTGCTTGTTTTAAAAAACATTTTATTTATTTATTTTTAGAGAGAGGGAAGGGAGGGAGAAAGAGAGAGAAACATCAATGCGTGGTTGCCTCTCGAGCAACCCCTGCTGGGGAACTGGCCCGCAACCCAGACATATGCCCTGACTGGGAATTGAACCTGCAGCCCTTTGCTTCACAGGCCAGCCCCCAATCCACTGAGCCACAGCAGCCAGGGCTGATTTTGTTTCTTGATGGCACAGTACGGAAAGTGTCAAAATTTTGCATTTTTACAGCTTTTTCTTTTTTTTTTTATCTGTTACAGCATACTGACTGAAATTTACCATATAGACTTTTATTATTTTTATTTTTCTCTCTTATTTTCTTCTTTTTAATTTGGTTTTAAATTTTTATTAAAGTTATATATAGGTGGTCAAGAGTTTTAAGAGTCAAATAGTTTTCATAGTTTAATCAGGAAAATGATGATCTCCTCCTTCCTGCTATTTTCTAAATCACTTTTAGCTCATTTTAGAAGTTAATCTCCATATTTCTAAATGATATTGTTAGTGCCATGTCTTAATTTTTTCAGCTTTTGTTCTTTTTATAAAAATTTTATTATTTTATTTTGTAATGTTATCATTTTAAGATAGGCATGTGGTACTTTTCAGCCTTTCTTTTTTTCCCAATATTTGCATTTTTTGGTGATACATTTTATTCTATTACTATTTTACCTGTATTGTATAAGTTTTGATTTTTAGTATTTTTATTATATTTTGTTTTGAAACTTTGGTTACATTATGATTTTTTTCTTTGATTCACTGGTAGCGTCAAAGCAGGCTTTTAATTTTTAACTTATTTCTAGCACATTGTTACAGGATAAGAGGACAATAATTCTTTATTCTTATAACCCTTTGACATTTTTGAGGCTTATTTCGTGGTTTTAAATATGGTCAATTTCTGTTATTATTTCTTTTGTTCTTGAAAGAGTTCTGTGCTTGGTGGGCATGGCTGTATATTCGCCTTTAGGAAAAGATTGTTAATTGTGTCGATAACTTCTTTCCTTTTTTTACGGATTTATATTCCTCTGATATCAGTTACTGTGCAGGTCTTCAATTTTTGTTATATATTTTTTGAGGCTTATTACTTATTGTGTATAAATGTAAATTAATTTCCTTTTGAACTTTTAATTTTTATTGTAACTGTCTTTATCTCTAAGAGTTTAAGGCAAAAAGTTTTTAAAAATATATTAAGTAGTTACATTAATTTGGCTGTGTTCCTGGTATCTTTTAAAATCTTTTTACTTTCAGCTTTTTGATATCCTTAGGTGTGTATCTTTTAAACAGCATATAATTGGATTAAAAAATCAAGTTGAGTCTTTGCTGTTAACTGGTGCATATTGTGTATATAATATTATTCTTATATTTGGATTTATCTTTATTGTCGTATTCTGTATTTTCATTTGTTCTTCTCTATGTTTCTGTCCCTTTTCCTTGCCTTCATCTGGACTATTTTTTTTCTTGTTTCACCATAAGTTTGAAAGCTATGCAGTCTTGAAATTATTTATTTTAAACAAATCGAGGTATAATTTACATAAAATAAACTATTCATTTAAAGTGTAAGTTTGAGTATTTGCATACTGCAAACATTTTAGTGACTGTTTATGAAACATTTACTAAATTTTGAAGTTAATCATGGCCTTCTTTTCCTCTTTCTCTTACTTAAGAAAGGGAACTTAGAGTTCTTGAATTATAATTACCTCCCCAAACAACTTAAAACTCTAGCTTTTAAAAAACATGATGGTGCTTTATGTTTTACATTCACTTTTTAAGATTTACCTACATTTTTACTATCTATTTTTCATTTACTCATGTTTCTCAGACCTTCTTTCTGTGTGAATTACTTTTCTTGTGTCTGAAATGTGTCTTTTAGTGTTTGTCTCTCTTTTTGTCTTTTGGTCTGAAAGTGTCTTTATTTTGTACTGATTTTTGAAACTTAGTCTAATTTTTTTCTGGCTTGATAAAATCAATTTTATTGAAGTATAATTTATACGCAGTAAGTTATATATATTTAAGTTCAACAAGTTTTGACAAATTTATACAACTGTGCAACTGTCAACCCAGTTAAGATACAGAATTATTTCCATCACCCCAGAAAGTCTCCCTCGTTCCCTTTTATTCAACCGTCTCATCTCCTGCCCAGGTACATACTGACCTGCTGTCTGTCACTCCCAGTTAACTTTGCCTGTTCGAGAACTTCTCACCCCTGGAATCACATAGTGTGTGCTCTTTTGTGTAAGGCTTTGTGTGTTCAGCGTGTGCTTTCGAGTTTCACCCACATTATTACACAAGTGATTCTTTTTCTTTATTGCTGAATAGTATTTCATTGTATGAATATACCACAATTTCTATATCCAGTCTCTTATTGATGAGTATTAGAATGTCAGCCATTTTGGGTTATTATGAGTAAAATTTATACTACTCTCAGTATACAAATCTTTTTGTGGAAATATTCTTTAATTTCTACTGGGTAAATAAATACCTACAAATGAAAATGTTGGGCACTAGGTATGACAAGTGTATGTTTTAACTTTATAAAAAATGTTTTCTGGTGACTTGTAAGATATTTTTTTATCTTCAATGCTATGCATTTTTTCCCCAGTAGTGTTGACTAAGTGTGGGTATTCTGTTTTTAACTCTTGTTTGGGATTCATTGTCTTTTGGAATTTGTGAGTTGTTTCCCCTTAGGATCTGGAAAAACTCTTCTCAAAACCCTCAAAATAAAAACCAAAATTCTTACAATAGCCTGCAAAGCTCTTCAGTATCTGGCTCTTTTTTACCTTTTGAAATCACCCTGCTCACTGTGTTCAGTTATGCCAACCTCCTTGGTTTTGAACACACCAAGCATTTGCCCACTCTGGGTTCTGTGCACGGTCTTTGCTTGTATTTCGTTTTGGTCAGGTTCCCTCGTTGCGGCATTTAAAACTGTGACCCGGCACACTCCCCGGCCCCCCGCACTCCCAGCTGACCGTGTTGCTCCTTCCCCCCTTTTGCTAAAACCCTTACCCTTTTGATATTCCATAAAATGTGTTTATATCATGTTTATTACTTGTTGTGTTGACAGTTTTCTCCCCTCCTTCCTTAGAAGAATAGAGGCTGCACAAGGGAAGAGTTGTCTTGTGTGTTTTAAGTAATGAGTTTTTAAGTTCCTGAAACAGTGCTCGGCACAAAGCTGGCTTGTAGGTACTTGTTGAGTCAGTGAATAACAATTTGGTTGTGGTTTCTTTAAGAGGATTTTGGATAATTTTAGTGTCTCTTTTCACTTTTCTAAAATTTTCCATATTTTTGTTATATATAGGCATTATTTTCATAAGAAAAAATATGTGAAAGGAATTTTGTTGTGATTAAATACAGGGTGGAGCAAAAGGAGGTTTACAGTTAGGAGAATGTATAACACAGACTTTATTCTTATTATTTACTAATTACTATATTATTTTTATATAAACAAATGTAAAACTAATTTTGCCCCACCCTGTACTGTGTCTTTTGTTAGTGAGGTTAAGATATACTGTTTTATTCATCTTTAAAAGTTTTAAATATTAAGTTTCTAAAGCAGCATATAAAATGAATATGGTCTTAATTTTGTTAATACATTTTAATATTTACAGGTAGAAGTTTAAACATATTTTTTATTTTCAAAGGACTATGACTTAATCTCCAAAGAACCAAAGCCTTTAATATTTGAGGGGAAAGTGCGTGGTCCTATTGTTGTCCCCACAGCAGGAGAGGAAGCAACCGGGAACTCGGGCAGTTTTCGAAGAGGAGTCGCAATGAAGGTGAAAGTGTCTCCCAAAGGGGACGAAGGTGATAAGAAACCTGCCTTTATGGACCTGACAAAAGAAGATATGCACGCAAATGACAGAACATTACAACAGCAGCTAGGTGATCAAAATAGAACTATTTCATCTGTCCATGGCTTCAACAGTGATATTGTGAAGGCCTTGGACCGAATTACATTACAGAATATTCCTTCTCAAACAGCTCCGGGTTGTACTGCAGGAACGAAGAAGGACTACAGCCTTCCTCTTACCGTCCTTACCTGCCCCAGAGCATGTCCGCACATGGCTGCTTGTGGAAATGTCCTGTTTGAGGGAAGGACGGTTCAGCTAGGGAAGCTTTGCTGCACTGGAGTCGAAACTGAGGATGACGAAGATACTGAGTCGACTTCATCAGTGGAACAAGCGTCAGTTGAAGTCTCCGATGGACCAACCCTCCACGACTCAGATCTCTATATTGAGATTGTGAAAAATACAAAGTCTGTCCCAGAATATTCAGAGGTGGCTTATCCTGATTATTTTGGTCACATTCCACCTCCGTTCAAAGAGCCTATTTTAGAAAGGCCTTATGGTGTACAAAGGTGAGTTGCAGATTCCTTCTTCCTTCTAAACAAGACCATTGTTAAAATAGGAGCTGTGCTTAAAAAAACTGGGTATTTAGGAAGAAAATTATTCTCATAAAGTTATTGTAATTTTTATCCAGCTGTGGGAGTTTTACAGTGTTTGAAATTGTCCTTATAGGTTTACTTTGTTTATTTTCTAAGTTCATTACTAATTCAGATGAAGCCAGCATAATAAACCTGACCATATAATGAAGTCACATGTAGTATAGCATCAGGACAGGGGACTGACTTTGCTGGGACAATTTAGAAATTTAAAAAAATGTTTCTTTATTGTTCAAGTACGTCTCCGTTCAAAATGTCTCCATTTCCCCCCCACTATTTCCCCCTGCCCCACCCATTGCCCACCCTCTAGAAATTTTTATTTTTAAAAACATTTTATTTATTTATTTTTAGAGAGGGGGGAAGGGAGGGGGACAGAGAGGGTGAGAAACATCAATGTGAGAGAGAAACATCCATCAGTTGCCTTTTGTACACGCTCAAACCTGCATCCAGGCATGTGCCCTGACTGGGGATCAAACCAGCACCCCTTTTGCTTTGTGGGACAATGCCCAGCCAACTGAGCCACATGGGTCAGAGTGAAATTTTTTAAATAAAAAACTTAGAAACTTTAGAGTGAATCTGAAAATGTAAAAACAAATTAATTAGTAACCCTTGAATAAATATTACATTAGTAATATATTAATTTAGTAATTTGACCATCTTTTTAACTTGATTTACATATATGATTTAAAAATCGCAGTATGGACAGTGTGATTTTGCTTTGAAATTGAAAATATACAACATAAAAATTTGGAATGTAACTAGATACTGAATCTTGCCAATTAATTTTGGAAATGATAGCATTAACTATTGCCGACTAGTGAATATTTGGTATATAAATACATTTTTGGTGTGACTTGTCTATTTTCAGTGATTATGGTTAAGATTTTGTGATAGTGGCTTACCAGCACCTAAAGACATTTATATGCTCTTGTTATAAGCATGATAAGTAATGATAGAAGACATTATTTTGGGTTTTGGTTCTCTGTAGACTATAAGCACTTTTAAGGCAATAACTGTATCTTCCTTTTTATCTTTAGCATGTAGTATAATTAGTCATTTTTACTTGGCACCTTAGTATATGGTTAATGCTACCAGTTGGCTCCTTGACTCACAGGTGTGGAATCACATACAACATAGTGTCAGGACGGGGGACTGACTTTGCTGGGAAAGGTGTGTGGGAGGGGGCTCGTGCCTTGGCATCTGCTGGTTGTGTCACAGACTGCACCATCAGGAGGCAGCTGGCCTCTTAGAGTGCTGGAATGGCCTTCAAAAGGCTTAGGTGAAGCTCCAACTCAGAGGAAATTGCCTGCAAGGATGTGTTACATGCACTACATGAGAAACTTCCACATGGTTATTTATCCCCAACAGAAAGAATGAGGCTGGGAACCAGGAGGTGGTAACAGAAATAGTCCTACTTACTATAGCGTGCCATGTCCCAGTGGGGGACTTGGTGCTTTCTGGTCCTGTACCTCTGGGCTCTGCAGGATTAGAAGTCCTGGTCCTCAGAGTGGGTACAATCTTTCCAAGGGGTACATAGTAAGGGTACAATTTAACTACAAGCTGTGCTTGTCAGTGGGTTACTTTAAACTCTTGTGTCTGGCGGGCAGGAGTAGTTGCTTGTAGTCTTCAGCCACGTACCTTTGGGACCTGTAGTAGCATTCACGCTGAGGCCATTGGCTGACCATGGTGGGGTCACTAGAGTGGAACCATTCTTGACCCGTGCAGGGGTCTGCCGGTAGGCAGTCTGCCCCGAGGCTGGGGCTTTTGCAGAGCCGCTCTGCAGTCTGTGGCTCTTCCTGCCCAGAGTGCTCCATTTCCCCAGGTGTCAGACCTGCTTTGTGGACAGTCTTGAAGGCCCTCCTCACCTACTGCTAATTTCTTTCTCCTTTGTGCTGTACACATTTCCCCCAACAGATCTCTTGCATGTCTGATTGTGTCTTGGCATTTGCGTTTTGAAGGACTTTAAGCGATGCTTCCAGAATGAGCCAGGGTCAGTCGGCGACTTGAGTTTTCTTCCTTTTAGTGTCACCTCTAAGGCTCTCCACCTCCTCAGAGTCAAAGGTGTTATGTTGACCACAGAAGGCACTTCTTTATTTTATTTATTTATTATTATTTTTTAATTAAAGGTAGACTTTAAAAATTTTGATTTTTATAAGTAGAGAAAGGAAGGCGGGGAGAGAGAGGAGAGAGAAACATCGACTGATTCCTTTGTGTGCCCTGACCAGGAATCAACCCAAAACCTTGGGGCACCAGAACAATGCTCTAAGCAACTGAGCCATTCCATTAGGAGTGGCCAGGACATTAGGTGTTTTTTTAAGTCTCAGAAAAAGGTTCCTTATTACGTTGCTTTAGTCTGAAAGTTTGGTTTCTTCTTACTAGCCTATGATAACTGAGGTCGGATTAGAAGGTAGGAGAACTGTGAAATAGACTGTTGTTACTGTGTAAGTTTAAGTCTCTGGTTCTCAGGCTTGAGTTTAGCCAACAGTGATCCTTCCTGTTTCTCCGATGAAAGCTTTTCTCAGTCAAGTGTTTCCTCCTTTCCCTCCTCCCTTCCCTCACCCTTTCCCTCTCTTCTTTCTTTCTCCCCTTCTGCTTTCTTCCTCCTCCTCCCCTCAGCTGTTTCTGATGTTGGACTTGGTCCCTGCCCGCTGGGCCTTTTAGAGAATAGTATTCCCCATGGTCTCAAGCTCCACTTGCTCTTTCCCCAGGACTGGGCCCATCCTGACAGTGGAGGAATGTTCACAGTCTGGGAAATACTGTGGCTCTTCTGCAACCCTCTCCTCTCTTACAGTATTTGTGATGTGTGATGAATTCTTTCACTCATCCCTCAAACATAGACCTCGTGCTCACTCTACAGGTCTGATCTACAGATCAGGGTTCCACCTCTTTCAGTATATTGGGCCACCTGTAGGACGTTTTCCTGAAGTAGTCGATTTTTTTTTATTGCCGCTGTACAAAGTGTAATGTACTCCTGAGTTTGTCGATTATTTAAATCAAAACTTAAGGGTTTTTAAAATATAAATAGCATGATGAAAGATCAAAAGGTCAGTGGGAGTTGGTATGTATGTTCTGTAGGTAGGTGTGTTGGTGTGTATGTTAAGTGCCAAGGAGATGGAGCTCAAGGAAATAAACACACTGACATCCCATAATCATGGTGGTTCTGTAAGATTTTAATGGAGATGAAGTAGTCTTATTGCCTAGTGATGTCATAGCAATAATACCGTTGTAGCACCATGCGTTGCTTACGGGTTTGTTATGGTGCCGGTTTAAACGTCATCATTACTGCGCTGCACGTACCATTACAGTAGTAGCGGTACAGTAGTAGTAGTAGTGGGCTGCACCGTCTCGGTTTGTGCGCGTGCACTCTGCTGTTTGCACCGTGATGACATTGCCGGTGATGCCTCTGTTACTAAGCAATGCGTGAATCTAGCGCTCATGTATAAGTGGCTGTACCAAACTGTCTGTGAAGACTGTCTTCTGTGGATCCTCAGAGAACACGTATGTAATGAACACCGTTTTTCATGATATCTTCATGGTAAACGTAATAGTGAGGTCTGCTGAGCTGTCTCTCTGGCATTGCTCCGTATTCGTTGAAACCTAACGAAGTACAGTTTTGCCTGTGGTCACATATCATGGGAACTTTTGAGTCTTTTCTGGACTAAATGGTCTGGACCTTTTTCAGACTGTACTGCACAATTTTTTTCTTTTGAGCCACACCTTTGATAAATATTGAATGTCAGTAAGTTTGAGGTTATAGTCCCCTGAGGGTACCTGGAAAATATTTGTTGTGTTTAGGCTGGAAAGTCATTTATTTTAATAGGCAGCTGAGGTAAAGGAAAGAAGGATTGATACCTTTTTAAAAGGTTTTTTATTTATTTTTAGGGAGAGGGAGAAAGAAAGGGAGAGAAACATCAATCAGTTGCCTCTTGCATGCATACAAGAGGCCAACAGCCCAGGCATATGCCCTGACCAGGAATCGAACTGGTAACCTTTTGGTTCAACAGGCCGGTGCTCAATCCACTGAGCCACATGGGCCAGGGCTGATATCTTTTTATGAAACTCATGCTCCTTAACGCAGATACCTGTCTGAATAAAATACCTGTTTATTTTCTTTATTAGTGAGGGCTGAGGGCAGGGCAAATATTTTCCTCAAGTATTAATTTTAGGTTTAGTTTAATATAAATGGGCAGTTGTGCCCCCATAAAATACAGTGTCAGAGGTTGAAAACCAGGGTCTCTAGGCCATGTTCAACTTGTACATGATTTTGGCTTCACTTGCAGAGCATTTTTTTAAGCCTATTGCCAACATTTAGAATTTGGGAGATTGCACGTAGAAATCCAAGTTTCTGGTGTTTCTTAAAAAAATCTAGTATGACAACCTTAACCTCTTTTCTGCTGGGCAATAATGAGTTTGTTTTTAGGCAGAACCTGTGTTCCCCAGTTTTCCAGGCTGCCGCCCCATCGGCCCGTTTTGGGTGATGGGAACTCGGCTGCAGCACTGAGCTGCTGTGTCAGCTTTCCAGTGCTGTCTTTCTTCTAAAACATTCAGACCTTTGTACGGGTTGATGTTGCACTTTTGTGGTGTATATCAATCTCATTTAACAAATTACTCTGACAAGTGGAAGTATTTAATCATGTACCCATACTTGATCGTTTCTTTTGCGGGGTGTATCAGAGTCTGCGTGAGTCCCACCTCTTTCATTGTTAAAGGTCTGGGTGACATAAATTTTGGGTTTGTTCGTTATTATAATTAATAACTTCTTAAAAGGTTGTTTCTTTAGAAAGAATCGAGCATTGGAAAGTGATGACATTGAACCCAAATCAAGGATTTATATCATAATATTTTGATAATAGGTTTTTTCCAATGTACTTTGTCAATGATGATTTTTTTGGTAGAATACAGTTTAAAAATAAATTATATTTAATTGTGTAACTACTAGGTTAAGAATTTTAGTTACACTTTAGAAAATTTTAGTATGCTTTTTTCATGTGTTTAACTATTATACTTTTTTAAAAAAGATTTTATTTATCTTTAGAAGGGAAGGGAAGGAGAGAGGGAGAGAAATATCAATTACGGTTGCCTCTTGTGCATCTCCTGCTGGGAACTGGCCTGCAACCCAGGCATATGCCCTGACTGGGAATCGAACCACAATCCTCTGGTTTGCAGGCCGGCACTTGATCCACTGAGCTACACCAGCCAGGGCTAAATTTTAATTCTTTATTAGGATAAGTGCTTGGCTAATTGTGTTAGATTTCTAAATTCTATGAGAGTGAATCCTCTTTAATCACAGAGAAGGGTCCCTGTGCAGGCCACTAGCCTCACATCTGCCTGAAGTTAAGGAGACTTCCAGTGTTGAGGGTATTCTCGACATTTCATTATTTATAATCGTTTTAGCAAACTTTTTACTCTGCTTTCTCAGTAAATCGATAAACCACAGTTCTGATCTGTATTACTAATTTTTAGCTGAAACAAAGGCGAAATTTAAATTAGTTACATAACTGGCTTCCTCATTAGTAATAGGTGGACAGTAGTCCCTCCTGACCCCCTAGTTTCGCTTTCCTTGGTTTCCGTTACCTGTAGTCAGCCTCCGTCTGCGAATGTTAAATGGGAAAATATTGGAAATAAACAATTCATTACATTTCAAATTGCACGCTGTTCTGAGTAGGGTGATGAACTCTCGTGCCATCCGGCTCCATCTGCTCGGGATGTGACGTCCCTTTGTCCCGTGCATCACACTGAATTCACTCCCACACTGTGTATGCTCCCTGCCCACTTGTCACGTAGTGGCCTCCGCAGTGACCAGGTGGACTGTCGCAGCAGCATGGTGCTTGTGTACAAGGTGCCCTCGTTTTCCTTAGCAACGGCCCCAAAACGCAAGAGTAGCTATGCTGGCAGTTCGAATACATCAGAGAGAAGCTGGGAAGTGCTTCCTTTATGTAAAAAGGTGAATTAATAGTACAGTGCAATAGATTGAGAGAGAAAGGGAGCATATTCATATAATGCTTATTATAGTGTGTTATAATTGTTCTGTATTATTATGAGTAATTGTTGTCAGTCTCTTTCTGTGCCTGATTTATAAACTGAACTTTATCTTAGGTGTGCACATATGAAAAACTACACCCCCACCCCCACACACGATTTGGTGCTGTGTGCGGTTTCAGGCGTCCACTGGGGATATTGAACCATATCCCTCTTCACCACTCTGCTAACACCAGCAGGCGCCTCCCCACCACGGCCTCTATGCCACTCTCCCTGGAGTTTCAGGCACCTGGCTTTGTAATCCAGAACTGTGCTCTTTAAGCCCCAGTTTGGTGCCATTTTTCATGATTGTTGTCTTCCTTATCTTGAATATTGATGGGAAGATCATGGGGCTGTGTGTGGCTTAGTCTTTAGGGCAGTGGCAGGGATTTTAGGAATATTCCAGGTCATTGGTGTCCATTTTGTCGGACTGCTTCAGGGGGAGATCAGGCGTAGAGAATCCTGGAGATCCAGGGACCACCCTCTGCTCCCTGATACAGGTGTTGCCCCCCTGCACATTCCCTCTCCAGCAGCAGAAGAGAGCTGACTCTGCGCAGGGTGCAGGCGGGTTGCCAGTTGCATTGCAGCTCAGTGCTGGTGAGAGCGGGTTTTGAAGATTTCCTTCTAATGTAGTCTCTGGCTTTTCGGATCTTTACTGATTCTAGTAATGCTACTATTATGTGTGCAGAATTGTTTCCCCAGGGGCTGGAGAGTGGATCCACACCACTTCTGTGTAGCAAAGCATAACAGACATTCGAGATGAATTTCCTAGACCTCAGACATTAAAAATACTGATTTTTTCTTGTTATAGAGTGATATTTTTTTTGTTCAAAAATACGCAGAGGAGTGATTATTTTTATTTTAAGAAATTTTTATCATTTTACACTTTTTAACAATTAATACTTATTCTGGAGAAAGTTGTGTCTTGGTGTATATCAGTGAATTTTGGTCAAACTACTCTTTTATGATTTTAGGACAAAAATTGCCCAAGATATTGAGAGGCTAATACATCAGAGTGATATCATAGATCGAGTGGTATATGACTTAGATACCCCAAAGTAAGTCTGACTTTTTTGTTTTTGTTGTTTTACTTTCATTAGTTTTATTTTTACTGTAAGATGTCAGTGTTATTTTAAAAGATATAAAGTATCTTTTAACTTCCACCTAGTTTACCATTGTGATGTTTTCAGCTTTTACTGAGATAATAATGATAATGTAATATTACTCATGTTTTTTACTTAAATAATGACTATATCACAAGCTTTTATTTGTTCTCAGGTGGACTTTTAATGGGTATAGTAAGGTCACAAATTGATGCACGGTTTTTAAAAAAAACTGAAATTACTTCCACTTAAGAGAGTGGAGATTTCCTGCGAAATGCTGTAAGGTTGTCCTGCAGTAGTGAGCCTTCATTTCCTTAGAACAATAAATTGCCATCTCCTTCAGAAGGAATGTAAGCTCACTAATTGCTCGTAGTCTCCACTATGCTTTCTTGTCGCTGACTATTTATAAACTGCTTCAGTCCTGCTAGGCTGATCTTTGAAACCATTTGTTTACGATCCTTGACTTGTTAGTATCATTTACAGTTTAGGATTATCACTAATACCACATTTCAGGGTTTAAATAAAAGTAATAAATGAAAATTACAAATGATGAATGTGACTATTACTTAGCCATTTGTCTTCTCACATGAGAGATTTAATTAGGCCTCACTGAATTTTTCTTCCTCTTTAACATTCTACTCTTTTTAGAAAATTTTACATTTTATGATTTTTCTTTTTTTAAAAAATATTTTATTTATTTATTTTTAGACAGAGGGGAAGGGAGGGAGCAAGCAAGGAAGAGAAACATTAATGTGTGGTTGCAGCTTGCACACCCCCTACTGGGGACCTGACCTGCAATCCAGGCATGTGCCCTGACTAGGAATTAAACCAGCAACCCTCTGGTTTGCAGGTCATCACTCAGTCCACTGAGCTTCACCAGCCAGGGCACATTTTACTGATCCTATTTGGAGGAAATAAAGCACTTTGAGAAGATTTTTGTTAGAGAGATAAGGGCAAAGCTATATCAAAGATAATGACTGAATTTGAAATAATACTCTTAAAAATGAGAAACTAATTTTTATTTATATCTTTTAGTTATTTCAACGTTTGTATAAGTCTTTGTCAGGTAGACCAGGCAGACCCGGTAAATCCTGAAACAAACTAAAAAATCCCGAGTGTGGTATATTGTACTATTTCTAATTGAAATGTTTTGGACAAAATCTTTGAGCTTTTTGGAGTCTTAGTTTTCCCCTATTAGATGTAAGTTCCAGAAGAGCAAGAATTTGTATTCAATTAAGGAAACAGACAAATGACAAAAGCAGTATGTCATGTAGTAGGTACTTAGTAAGTATTTAGTTAAGTAATGAATATGTAAACTGAGGATAATACCTTTACCTTTTTGGGTGCTAATTAAAAAGATAATAGATAATGTAGTTATTGAAATTTGTAATAATATTTTAACTTGAGAAATGCTTAGTTTGTTAGAATATTGGTACTCAGTACAGGTCATAGCATTTTAAAAACTAAGTCTGGCCTTTTAAATATAATTATTAGCATATATTTAGAAATGACATTTATTCACTGAGGTAAAAATTCTTATTAAGATTTACTACCAATGTAGGGATAAATTTCTACTTGTAATTATAATATTTTTGTCTATAAATATTAGCCAAAGTTTGTAGCCAAAATATTAGCCATTTGCTTGCGTTGGTTATATTTTTTTGGTTTAAGAATAATGAGGAGGGTAAGGTTATAATAGTGTTATATTTTTAATCTGTAATGTGTTTTTATGTTTATTATTGCTCACCTGCTTAACTGCAATATATTCTATTATACCTCAAAATTTTTATTTAGTTACACCATTCCAGAAGATGGCGATATTTTGAAGTTTAACTCCAAATTTGAATCTGGGAATCTGCGCAAAGTAATTCAAATTAGAAAGTAAGTCATTTAAAATTTTCTCATTTTGTATGTGCACTGATACTTTTCTCATTTTCATCAGATTTTTTTATTTCCTATTTTCAGAAATGAGTATGACCTTATCCTGAACTCGGATATAAATAGTAATCACTATCACCAGTGGTTTTACTTTGAAGTCAGTGGGATGCGACCAGGTGTTGCTTACAGGTTTAACATCATTAACTGTGAAAAGTCCAACAGCCAGTTTAATTATGGTAAGGCAGTTTTCTTCCCGAATTTGGAGGATATAGAGGTATTACACCTGTAGAACATAAATTTTTGAAAAATAATTACTGACTTTTAAAAATAGTTTGTGTTCTTTTGTTTTCTCTGGTTCTCAAAATTCAAATATTTCTCATACAAACTTTGAAATAAGCTAAGCTTTGCTTTGTTGGTAAAGGGAGTTACTCTTGTAAGCAAGCTCTCTGAAATGTAATGAATATGGTTGATTTCATCCAAATTGAATACCACTAAAAATTTGTTATGTATGCTGCTTAAAATCAAGTTAGTCATGTCAGTTCACGTAGAAGAAAATTGCATGAAGCAGTCTTTTTAAACTGTTTATTTTGAATAGATTCATAGAAAGTTAAAATATTGTAGAAGTTGTAGAAATGTTCTGAGGCCTCTTCACTGAGAGTTCTCCAGTGATAACATCATACATGACTGCAGTCTGATACCACAGCCAGCATTTGACGTGGGTGCCATGTGGGTGCGTGATTCTGTGCCACTGTGTCACATTGATAGAGTCTTGTAACTGTCACCACAATCAACATGCAGAATACTTCCGTCAACACAAAGCCTTGTGCTACTCCTTTAAAGTTCACCATTCAGGATGATGTTAGCTGCAGTTCTCTGAAAAATTTTAAATCTAGTTGAGGACGTTTCTTTACAATACTAATGTTCTGAGACTTTACTATGAATGAATATTGAATTTTGTCATATACTTATCTGCATCAATTTAATTTGATCATGTGATTATTCTTCTTTATCCTGTTAATATATCAGATTGACTTTCAAATATCGAACCATCCTTTTTTATGTATGTAATAAACCATACTTGGTCACTGTGTATAATTGCTAATATTTTGTTAAGAATTTTTGTATTTATTTTCAAGAGGGATATTGAGCTCTAGCTGGTGTAGCTCAGTGGATTGAGCATGGGCCTGTGAAGCAAAGGGTCACTGGTTCAATTCCCAGTCAGAGCACATGCCTGGATTGCAGGCCAGGTCCCCAGTGGGGGACACATGAGAGGCAACCACACACTGATGTTTCTCTCCCATGCTTGCTCCTTCCCTTCCCCTCTCTCTGGGGATAAATAAATAGAATATTAAAAAAAAAAAAGAGGGATATTGAGCAATGGGGTTTTTTTTTTTAACTGTGTCTGGTATGGCATGTCATTTTGTACTGAACTTATAATAGTGATTGGGAACTGTTCCCTTCCCTTAGTTTCTGGAAGAGCGTCTAGAAATTTGGTGTTGATTCCTAAATATTTGGTGGGGTTCTCCAGTGAAATTATTTGGGCCTGGAGATTTTTGGTTTTGGTAGTCTTTTAAATGAAAAATTCAATTTCTTTAATAATTTTAGGGCTATTCACGTTATCTATTTTATCCTGAGAGAGTTGTAGTAGTTTGTGCTTTTTAGGAATTTATCCATTTCTTCTAAAGCGTGAAATATGTAGACAGTTGTTCTGAGTTCTCCCTCACGGCCCCTTTGACGTCTGAGAGTCTCTAATGACACTCACGTTTCATTTCTGATGATGGTGACTTGTGTCTTCTCTTCATTTTTCTCTGCCAGCCCTGGTACCGGCTCGTCAACTTCATTGACGTTTATAAAGAAATGGCTTTTTTTTTCATTGGCTTTCTCTATTGTTTTTCTCATGAGACAATTTTTTAAAACTCTGCTGTTCTACCAGCAAAGTTATTAAATTTATAATTTCATTTAAGTCTACATATTTAATACTTAAATAAATATAAAACTAAGAGTTATTTGTCAGATACCAGTTTTTATAGTCAAGTGTTAAGTCAGTGGAAAATAATATCATTATAGAAACTTAAAATCAGTCATTTAAAGTTGAGACATCAATTTTCAACTACTTGATCTCAATTTTTGGGTAAAAGAGAAGAATTCTTTTTCTAACATCAAAAACCCACTTACATTGGGGGTCAAGGGGAAACAGATACATTATGTGTGATAAGTTTCAAAATCCCAGCAGCCTCTAGTTATTTGTTGTGAGGATGAAAAGGCTTTTTTTCTTTTTCAGTCCTCACCCGAGGACATTTTTATTTTCATTGCTTTTGGAGAGAGAGAAAGGGAGAGAGGAAGGGCGGGAGAGAAACACGGACTGACTGCCTCTTTCCCATATGCACCTGGACCTGGGACCCAATCTGCAATCTTCGGGTTACAGGACACTCCTACCAACTGACCCACGTCACCAGGGCAGGATGGGAAGCTTTTCTGAACTGCTAAGGCATGAGATACCGTGTTCTCTGTTTCAAATAAATGTTCTCAGCTGTTAAAAGCATACGGTGATGCTCTTTAGGGGGGCATTTCTGAGAATTGAAGCTTTCAGGAGTTGAAGAGGTCCTTCCCAACTTGCCATTATTCATGTGGAAAATAGAAAATTGTATGCTCTAGATAATTATATGTATGACATAAAAACTTTAGTCAGATTCACTAATTTAATGTAATTATAGAAAGATTAGGTAGCATAATATCTGGTTTCGTTATAAACATTTTTTAAAGTTTTGTTAACAGTTTATTTTTTATTGTCCTTTTTTCTCTGCCATTTATTCCCCTTACACTCCCTCCCACCTCCAGCACTCCCACCCCACGCTCACTACACCCTTGTCTGTGGCCATGAGTCCTTTTTCTTTTTTGCTCGACCTTTCCACCCTTCCCCCAGCTGTCAGCCTGCTCTCTCTTGAGGAGTCTGTCTCTGTTTAACCTTTTTTAAAGTTTGAAAAATGTTGTAAGTAATCTAATTTTAAGGATTCAGTGGTTTTATTGATTTGTACAAATAGTGATATGAATATTTTTGATGATCTATTTTGCATTCTTTATTTTTGATTTTAAATATAACTGCCAATCATTGAATATCATATTTCTTTGAAACGTTTGTAGACCTTACATGTTCATATAACTTTAAATATTACCTTAGTTGACTCATTCAATACCCAAACAAGTAAAGATTCTTCTTGTGTTTTCCCTGTTTAACTTGTAAGTATAATGCTGTTAACTTAATATTTTAGAGGAGAAAAAGACAATTGAATAAAGTAATTGTGTTTGCATTTTGAGTGCTTCTTAAGCATATAATATAAAGGTATATTTATTACTGAAATGATAATCAGTAAAATTTTCAAATTGTAGTGCTAACGTAGATGGTGTTTTTACTAATTATCTTTACATACTTTTATAAAATAATACTCTTAATATTTTAAACTTCATTAAATACTTCAGGTTTTTAAATTAAAAGCATACATTTCGGAATGCTTTCTATTTTGAAAAAACTTGTACCTCCATATTATAAATAAAACAGTCTCTTCACTTAGTGCTATTCTAAACTTAAAATGAATATCATTCTACAACTAAAACTCAAAGCAGTGAGACAAATGACTATTTATTCAAAAAATTTCTCTTCCTTCCTACCCCCTGTCCTCTGGGTGTTCTTATATGTGTATCACACTTTCCAGAATCACTTTGTGGAGAATTTGGAAAACAGATTGCTGTTAAGAAGAAAATTAAAACTATCAACAATGCATCAATTTAGAGATAATCACTTTAACATTAGTTTTTTTCCAGCCTTTTTTATAATGCAGTATGTAATTTCTGCATATACATTGTATATATTTATTATAAAAAATGAGGCTCTTAACCCATGCAGTTCTGTAATTTGTGTTTTAACCAAACATATTGTCAGCATTTTTCTGGGCTTTGAATATATGAAACAGTTTAATGGACATTCTATGGAGGTACTGTAACTTGTTTATCCAAACCTTTCTTTGTTGGAAATTTTAGTTGTTTTTAATTACACTATTTTTTATTTTAAATAATGCTGAGATAAACATTTAACTAAACATTTGTATAGATAATTATTTAGTTACAAATTCACAGAAGTGGAATTTTTTAATTTGCTAACTGTAAATGTGTTTTCTTTTTCTGATTATGAAACAGTGGATCTTTAATAGAGGAAACTTCATAAATTAAAAACAGTTTAAAAGATTCTCTAAGGAAGGAAAGATAAGAGAAAATCTACTGTTTAGTATTTTATTTTTTATCCTTAAATGTATTCATATATACCTAATTTTAAATTCAATTTTTCCCTTTTTTTAAATTTGGGATTACAGTATTAAAGCTTCTTTGTAAGCTATATTTTTGCCACATATATTTAAAAATATTTTCCATGCTATTAAATATTTTCAGCAACATTATTATTAATATCTGTACAATATTATATTGAGTAATATACAATAATTATTTAAATAATCTGATGAGAATTTCTTTTTCACCTTTTCAAAACTACAAGCTGTTCTGCATTTGATAGTTGTAATTTTTGCTTTTGCATATGCTTCTGATTATTTTTTGTCATAAATTCGTCCTAGTGGAATTTCTCAAAGAAAATGAACATACGTTGCTGAAGACTAGGGAAGATGGGTACTTACAGTGCTGGTAGGACTGTTAATTAGTTCAGTCTTTTTTGAAGTGCATTTGATAGTATGCCTTCAGTGTTTATACTTAATCCATTCTGGATGTATTTTGGTGTATTTAGTGAGCTGGGATCTAACTTAATCATACTATTAGTAGTTAAACTGAACTCGTTCTTTCTCCAAAGAGTTTTAAAATGTTTTTTGATGAATTTGTTGAGTAATTTGTCAGACATTCACATTTATAACTCATTTGCAACTCTGTGCCTGACCCACTAATGAAAGAAGGGTGGGAAACCTGGAAGACATGGTACATTGTTGCTCTCTGTTGTAGCTGTTATAGAGAACGGTCAGGTTAGTAAAGACATTAGGTTAGATTAGAACCTGGTTGGAAAGGTATCACCATTACTTATAGTCCCTGACTTGTTGAATTTGGGTTGAATTATTCAGACCTCTTAGTCACATATATGTTCCCTTTGTATTGAAACACAGTTCTCAGAAACTATGGTCTTAGCTACACACTAGCATTTGTTTGGTGGCTCTTTGTTGCTTTAGTACCACTTGGTTATAATTAT